GTCTGACTGGCCATATTTCACGAGCTGTTTTAAATATTTTGAGTTAGCGAAGTCAGTTTGGTCTGACTGGCCATATTTCACTAGCTGTTTTAAATACTTTGAGTTAGCGAAGTCAGTTTTGTCTGACTGGCCATATTTAGCTAGCTGTTTTAAATATTTTGAGTTAGCGAAGTCAGTTTTGTCTGACTGGCCATATTTCACGAGCTGTTTTAAATATTTTGAGTTAGCGAAGTAAGTTTGGTCTGACTGACCATATTTAGCTAGCTGTTTTAAATATTTTGAGTTAGCGAAGTCAGTTTGGTCTGACTGGCCATATTTAACTAGCTGTTTTAAATATTTTGAGTTAGCGAAGTCAGTTTGGTCTGACTGACCATGTTTAGCTAGCTGTTTTAAATATTTTGAGTTAGCGAAGTCAGTTTGGTCTGACTGGCCATATCGCACTAGCTGTTTTAAATATTTTCAGTTAGCGAAGTCAGTTTGGTCTGACTGGCCATATTTAGCTAGCTGTTTTAAATATTTTGAGTTAGCGAAGTCAGTTTGGTCTGACTGGCCATATTTCACGAGCTGTTTTAAATATTTTGAGTTAGCGAAGTCAGTTTGGTCTGACTGGCCATATTTAGCTAGCTGTTTTAAATATTTTGAGTTAGCGAAGTCAGTTTGGTCTGACTGGCCATATTTAGCTAGCTGTTTTAAATATTTTGAGTTAGCGAAGTCAGTTTGGTCTGACTGGCCATATTTAGCTAGCTGTTTTAAATATTTTGCGTTAGCGAAGTCAGTTTGGTCTGACTGGCCATATTTAGCTAGCTGTTTTAAATATTTTCAGTTAGTGAAGTCAGTTTGGTCTGACTGGCCATTAACAAATAGGTTTCGTCTCCGGCACCATCTTCATACCCGACCTCTCCTGTGGACAGCTTGCCTGGCCTTGTAACCTCCTCCAAAAACTGGACCTCCACATCTTCAAATAAAAACAGCTAGGTTAGACCATCGGGTTGCCTATGACCAGCAGGTAGAGCTAAGTAATGACACCATGTGCCAACTGTGATCTTTGAGCCAAGCTGTCCCGGTTATTGTAGACCACAGAAGATGAAAAGAGGGTGGGACAGGTGGGGAGGCGAGGCAACCACGTGGTCAAATAGTAAGTTTTCGATTGGGTGGCGAATAGCGAGGTGTGAAGACTTTCAAAAGTGAAATAGTAAAGAGTTGGACGGATTGCAATCAGGCTAAAAATGTTATGGGCGAAACAAAGTATTGGGAAAACCTGTCAAAAAAAAAGAACGCAAGGAAACAATGAACGTGTCGGCAGGAAGCCGTCACAAGCGATCAGGCAACAGTGAAAACAGAATTAAATAAAAAGAACACTTAGCGGTCAAATAGGAGAGGGTGTGTCTGTGACACATGTAGAGGTCTAGCTAGATGGATGTATTTAGAATTATTGATTTTGTTGACAGTCCATTTAATTGCCAGTATATATCGAGTACAGTAAATGCTCCAGTGGGAACTGAGACCATTCATGTGTTGTGTAGTGGCTCTGCTCTATCCTACATTAGTCTCAACACTAGACTGCTAATATCCAAATAAACAGAAGTTTTCTTTGCTCACACAGAACTGGGGTAAGTTTCAATACATTTAATATTGAACCTAAGGTGTAACTTTCATCATCTGACGTGTCTTTTGTAACATATTGTAACAATCTTGAGTGCTCTCAGCACTATCCCCTTTAAAAATTTATTGTAACAATCTTGAGTGCTCTCAGCACTTTCCACTTTTGTAACATATTGTAACAATCTTGAGTGCTCTCAGCACTATCAACTTTTGTAACATATTGTAACAATCTTAAGTGCTCTTAGCACTATTCCCTTTTGTAACATATTGTAACAATCTTAAGTGCTCTCAGCACTATCCCCTTTCGTAACATATTCTAACAATCTTAAGTGCTCTCAGTCAGCACTTTTCCCTTTTGTAACATATTGTAACAATCTTTAGTGCTCTCAGCACTTTTCCCTTTTGTAACATATTCTAACAATCTTAAGTGCTCTCAGCACTTTTCCCTTTTGTAACATATCCTAACAATCTTAAGTGCTCTCAGCACTTTTCCCTTTTGTAACATTTTGTGACAAACTTGAGCGCTCTCAGCATTATTTATTTTTGTAAGATTATTGTAACAATCGTCAGTGCTATAAGAAGTATCGAAATTGTAAGATTATACTAACAATCTTGAGTGCTCTCAGCAATATCTACTTTTGTAAGATTATTGTTACATTCTGAAGTGCTCTGAGAAATATCTACTTTTGTGAGATAATAGAGTGTTCTCAAGCAATATCTACTTTTGACCTATGGAATGACGATTTCCTACAGATAAAGTTTTTATTATCCTAGCCAGATACAGATCACACTCTCATAACATTCATTTCACCACCATAATCGTACCTAGTGATCACACTCATCCATTTCTTAAACCATCACAATGTTGCTACTGATGTATTCACCAAAGAACCAAATTAAAAATAAACAATAATCATTATAATCACAAACTTACAACAAAAAATCGTTTCCCATGTACCGTCTATAACAGGGGTAAAAAAATAAATCACTGATAAGAAGATAAGAAAGTCTATTTGACCATTTCAGTTTAAAGACAGTTTAAAGACAGCTGAAGACAGACGTAGGTAAAATGTACTGGATGCCTTTGCTTCTCACGGTGGCTGCAGCTGTCACTGTCACTTATGTGAGTTTGTTAATAAATTAAAGTCTCATGTGTGGTGTTTGTAAATAGAATACTGGTGTTGTGGCTTCCACTTCTTCATAACACTGATTTAAAAGAAGAAATAACACAAATGTGATCCCTTTGATTTTTAACATGTTAATTTAGGAGTATAATTGGTTGTGTGATTTTAGTAACTACAGGTAAGATATCTTCAAATTTACATAAACTGTGTTATAAACATAATATTTTTTTATAAACTTGTCATTCGCTGACAGGCAGCTGTAGGGGCCACATGTTCAAACAACGTCCAATGTGGTCAAGGGGAATGTTGCCAGATCCTGAGTGAGTACATGATCATGAGCAAGAAAAGACAACTAGATTGGATGACCACGACACCACCTTACCCAACAAGAGGCAAGTAGATAAAGTACTATAACTTGTGGATGAACTTCTATAACTTATAGACGAATCTCTATGACTTTTAGATGGATCTCTAAGACTTTTAGATGGATCTCTTTAGAACTTTTAGATGAATCTCTATAACTTTAAGATGAATCTCTATAACTTTAAGATGGATCTCTAAGACTTTTAGATGGAGGTCTTTAGTACTTTTAGATGAATCTCTATAACTTTAAGATGAATCTCTATAACTTTTAGATGAATCTCTATAACTTTTAGATGCATCTCTATAACTTTTCGATGAAGATATATTACTGAACGGTTAAGATGCTTGGCTGGGCTTAGCATTCAACTACCAGACCATTGTTGGATGGGCTTAGCTTTTAACTACGAGACCATTGTTGGATGGTCTTAGCTTTGAACTACCAGACCATTGTTTGATGGGCCTAGCTTTCAACTACCAGACCATTGTTGGATGGGCTTAGCTTTCAACTACCAAACCATTGTTGGGTGGGCTTAGCTTTCAACTACCAGACGATTGTTGTATGGGCCTAGCTTTGAACTACCAGACCATTGTGGGATGGGCTTAGCTTTCAACTACCAGACCATTGTTGGATGGGCTTAGCTTTCAACTACCAGACCATTGTTGGATGGGCTTAGCTTTTAACTACCAGACCATTTTTGGACGGGCCTAGCTTTCAACTACCAGACCATTGTTAGATAAGCTTAGCTATCAACTACCAGACCATTGTTGGATGAGCTTAGCTTTCAACTACCAGACCATTGTTGGATGGGCCTAGCTTTCAACTACCAGACCATTGTTGGATGGGCTCAGCTATCAACTACAAGTCCATTTTTGATGGGCTTAGGTTTATAACTTTAATCATTAGTTTTTAAAATCATTAATATGTATAGGATTTCCCTTTCGAGATGTTTTCAATATTTGGTAAAATGAAAAAAAAATAATGAAAAATTCCTCTTCTTCTTATTTCCTTTAATTTTTTCATCAACCATATATTTGTTAATTTGGATATCATTGCTGTGGAAAGACATTTCATTTTAGTCTTACGCCAATTTTTAACAGTTGTGCCGGAGTTGATTTTTGTATGTAAACACCGGCTTTGACCAGCTTCACCATCCATTCACTGACAGATCCATTGACCTACTTTATCCATTTACTGACAGTTACCATAACCTACTTCATTTATTTCCTGACAGGCACACTTGGAAGTTGTCAAAGATACCAGCTTGAAGGAAGTTCTTGTAATCCATTTGACAAGATTAACGGCTACTGCAGTTGTGAGCCCGGGACTCGGTGTGTGCAGCATGAGTACCCTATCACCTCCACCACCGAGCCGACCACAGAAGGACCAACGTCCACTACCCCACACCTGGCCAAACGTACCTTCGGCAGACCTGGTTATGTCTGGTTCGCCAAGTGTGAGAAATGACCATCGAATGATAAAGATTATTATCATAATTAAAGGAAATTCCTGAAAAAATTACTTATCCCAAAACTGTTCAAATTGTTTTGTAAATGTGTGCTTGTGTTTGTGACGATGATTGAATGATTACTTGTATAGCGCTTGTGTCCTTGCTACTTTAGATTTTATCATGCGTACAGAGCTTTGACATCATAGCTCTATTTAAAGAAACACGCTCCTAAATGTTTCTTAAAGGATTATTTTAATCACGTTTAATATCCCTCAAAGATTGAGGCAAACTGTTTCATAATTTAGGCGCATTGCTTCAAAATGGCCCCCTCCGTATGACATATTTTTGTGTTCATCCATAAAACATAAACTTTAAGAAAAAAACATGACTTCTATAGCTCAAACGCTTATGCACTGTATCAATATACTTCAAAGGCTGATTGTCTTCAACAGTCAATATACCCCAACAGTTGATGACCTATGTCAATACGACCAATTGTTTTTGTAGCTAATGGAGCTCACACATGTCGGTGAGATTACAATCAACATCTGACGGCATTGTACAGTCAACACGTGATTGCCCTGTTGATACAAAGAGCCATGTAGGCCTCTGGTAATTTCAAATATTTCCTTTAATTTAGAGTCTCCGATTGGCTTATTTCTAAGATCAAGGATATTCTAAGATAAGCTCTTATTTTCCAGATAGGATTTTAACCGAATTTGAACACAACACATGCGTTACTATGCATCTACGCTTATACCCTGATAGAATGTACTTCTAAGCCTAGTTAGCCATCTACTCTTACAGCTTGATGGAATGTACTTCTAAGTCTACCTAGGCATCTACGCTTATACCCTGATAGAATGTACTTCTAAGCATCGCTAGCCATCTACTCTTACAGCCTGACGGAATGTACTTCTAAGCCTAGCTTAGCCATCTACAAAGGGCCCCGCGCCCTACCAACTCCCCCCTCTCTCAACCTTCTCAACACCAGTTTCTCATAATTCTCACATGAGATGAAATGGGGTTTGGGCGGTGAGGCAACCCCGTAGTTAAAGATCAAGTGTTGTTTTTTTTTTTTTACTGTGAGTCGCATTGTGGGGTGTGAAGAGTGTCAAAGGTGAAATGGCAATGGGGGGGGGGGCGGATACTGCAATCAGGTTAGAAAAATGTAATGATCAAAACAATGTATGGGAGAACCTGAAAAGAAGAACGCAACAAAACAACGAACGTGTCGGCACAAAGCCCCCACCAGCGAACAGACGATAGTAAAAACAGAATCAAACAAAACTATAACTCACCTTTCAACGGTGACAGGTATCTGACACATTGGGAGTTTTAGACACATTTTGGTATTTAGAATGAGTGATGTTGTTGACAATCTATTAGATGCATGTATTTAGAATGATTGATGTTGTTGACAATCTATTTGATGCATGTATTTAGAATGATTGATGTTGTTGACAATCTATTTAACTGTCAACATATATTTTGTGCTTTAAATACTTGAGTCTATACTTGTGGTGTGGTGACGCTGCTCTGTCCTACATTAGTCTAACCAAGAGACGGCACATATCCAAATACACAGGCGTTTTCTTATGTCCCCACTGACCTGGGGTAAGTTTCTATACGTTTAATATTTAACCTACGATGTAACTTTCGTCATCCACGTGTCTTTTGTAAGATTATTGTAACATTTTGAGTGCTCTCAGCAGTACCCACTTTCGTCGGATTATTGTAACAATCTTGGGTGCTCTCAGCAATATCCACTTTTGTAAGATTATTGTAAATATCGTGAGTGCTCTTAGCAATATCTACTTTTGTAAGATTACTGTAACTATTGTGAGTGTTCTCAGCAATATTAACTTTTGTAAGATTATTGTAACTATTGTGAGTGCTATCAGCAATATCCACTATTTTAAGATTATTGTAACAATCTTGAGTGGTCTCATCAATATCAACTTTTACCAAACGAAGGACGATATACTAAAGATAATGTGTTTACTATCCTTGCCAGATACATACCACACTCTCAAAGCATTTGTAACCACCATAAATGTACCTAGTGAGATCTGTAGCAAAGAAACCAAACTAAAAACAAGCAATAATCATTATAATCATACAATTACAACTAAAAAAACCTTGACAACGTACCGTGTTTAACATGATTAAAACAAGGAAACCAAAGAGCATAAGGAAATCTACTTGACCATTACGCCTTAAAGACAGTTAAAAGACAGCTGAAGACGGACGTAGAGAAAATGTACTGGATGCCTTTGCTTGTCACGGTGGCTGGAGCTGTCACTGTCACATTTGTGAGTTTATTAATAGATTAAAGTCTCATGTGTGGCGTTTGTTTATAAAATAAAGTCTTATGCGTGAAGTAAATCTGGCCACGTTTCACCTTGTTAAAGAAAACATCACCTTGTCATTCACTGTCTCCAGGCGGCGCCAGGGGTCACATGCTCAGAGAACTGCGAGTGTGGCGAAGGGGAATGTTGCCTCCAGGCGGCGCCAGGGGCCATATGCTCAGAGAACTGCGAGTGTGGCGAAGGGGAATGTTGCCTCCAGGCGGCGCCAGGGGTCACATGCTCAGAGAACTGCGAGTGTGGCGAAGGGGAATGTTGCGCGATCCTGATTGAGCACGTTATGATGAGCAAGAAAAGACAACTTGATTGGATGACTACAACACTACAGTACGCAACAGGTTGCAAGCAGATAAAGTTCTATAACTTGTAGATAAAGCTCTGTAATTTTTAAATGAATCTTTATAACTCGTAGATGAATCACTATACCTTTTATATGTATCTCTATAATTTTAAGGTGAATCTTTATAACATGTAGATAAGATAATATTTTTTTATTGATCCAAATAAATAAATTGATTTTTTTTTTCATTCATCGTACATATTTTTTTCAGTCCTGGAAATGCTTGTTTGAGCTTTCTGTTGTTCCTTAAAATTAGTCTGTAGTAAAACATTTGGCGCGTAATTGTGCGCTAAGAACAGCGTCTTGGATTTTTTTTTCAACGGAATTTTCGTTTTTTTCCTGTCCAAGATCGAGAGCACTCTTCTTGTCTGCGGCCGCTTTGTCTTGAGTGGTTGTTTGGATCTTGCCATTTGTTGACAAGATGGCCAATCAATTTTTTTTCCCAAAATGGCGGAGATGGAATTGTTTTTGTTCACTGCACCGATGTCCACAAAAATCCATGTCACAGCTGTACTTCATGGTGGTATAAAAAACACAAGGTTATCAGGCAAAGCAGATAAGAAAACGAAAGCTGAAAAATGATCGAATTCTATAACTTTTAGATGAATCTCTACAAATTAAAAGTTAAGATTCATTCGTGATGTTTTAGTCAGTGAGTTTAGTTCCTTGTAGGCTTAGTTCCTTGTAGGCTTAGTTCCTTGTAGGCTTAGTTCCTTGTAGGCTTAGTTCCTTGTAGGCTTAGTTCCTTGTAGGCTTAGTTCCTTGTAGGCTTAGTTCATTGTAGGCTTAGTTCATTGCAGGCTTAGTTCATGTAGGCTTAGTTCCTTCTAGGCTTAGTTCCTTGTAGGCTTAGTTCCTTGTAGGCTTAGTTCCTTGTAGGCTTAGTTCCTTGTAGGCTTAGTTCCTTGTAGGCTTAGTTCCTTGTAGGCTTAGTACATTTTAGGCTTAGTTCCTTGTAGGCTTAGTTCCTTGTAGGCTTAGTTCCTTCTAGGCTTAGTTCCTTCTAGGCTTAGTTCCTTGTAGGCTTAGTTCCTTGTAGGCTTAGTTCCTTGTAGGCTTAGTTTCTTCTGGGCTTAGTTCCTCCTAGGCTTAGTTCCTTCTACGCCTAGTTCCTTCTAGTATAAATTCATTTTTGGCTTCGTTCCTTGAAGTATTAGTTTCACCTTAGATGTTAGAACATTGGGAACACATGGATTTCTAAGTGTGTATCTCTAATATATCTATGTCAGTGACTTATTTTCAAGATCACCTCAACGTTTTTCCATTCAAGTCTTCGGACCTTCACAGAATAGGGGATCATGTGAATATAGAATGTCTGTCAATAAAAGATAATAGTTGAAGGACTGCATTCAAGCTATGTGAATGAAATAGTCAAACAATGTCTGTTGAAGCTTGAAACAAAAGACAGGAAAATAGGACTTGGCTTAGAGCCTTCTTCAGCGAACAAAACAAATAAAAATACAAGTAACAGAGCACCGTTAAAAAAATACTTTAGAGATCTCATTTGTTGTTGCCAGAAGAAGAATACAATAGAAAGTCTGACAGGTGATTTATGTGAATATATAGTGTCTGTCATTGGATTTTTATGAATATAGAATACATTCTATAGGATTTAAGTGAATGTAGATTGATTGCCACAGGATTTATATGAATATATATTGATTTCCATACGATTTATGTGAATATATAACAGATATCATAGGATTTAGGTGAATGTCGAATGACAGTCTTAAATATTTGCTAAGATTAAACATATTCTGTATGTTTTGTTTTTTTAAATTTTGTTGATGAAGATTTATAACATTCAGATGAATCCCACTTCTTTTAATTTAATTTCATTTTTTCTCACCAATCTTATTTGTGTCTTAAGTTTTGTATGTCAACACCGACTTTGACCAGCTTCACCGTCCTGACCTACTACACGTAGTTACTGACAGGCGCCGTCACCTACTTCATTTATTGACCGACAGGTACCCTGACCTACTACACGTAGTTACTGACAGGCGCCCTCACCTACTTCATTTATTGACCGACAGATACCCTGACCTACTACACGTAGTTACTGACAGGCGCCCTCACCTACTTCATTTATTGACCGACAGGAACCCTGACCTACTACACGTATTTACTGACAGTTGCTCTCACCTACTTCATTTATTGACGACAGGTACCCTGACCTACTACACGTATTTACTGTTACTGACAGGCGCCCTACCCTACTTCATTTATTGACCGTCAGATTCCCTGACCTACTACACGTAGTTACTGACAGGCGCCCTCCCCTCCTTCATTTATTGACCGACAGGAACCCTGACCTACTACACGTATTTACTGACAGTTGCCCTCACCTACTTCATTTATTGACGACAGGTACCCTGACCTA